AGATGGACTCAACTGATATGGGTCCTGAGTTCAGTATGTATGTTGATGGACTCAACTGATATGGGTCCTGAGTTCAATATGTATGTAGATGGACTTTATTGATATGGGTCCTGAGTTCAGTATGTATGCATATGGACTTTATTGATATGGGTCCTGAGTTCAGTATACACGTAGATGGACTCAACTGATATGGGTCCTGAGTTCAGTATGTATGTAGATGGACTCAACTGATATGGGTCCTGAGTTCAATATGTATGTAGAAGGACTTAATTGATATGGGTCCTGAGTTCAGTATGTATGTAGATGGACTTTATTGATATGGGTCCTGAGTTCAGTATATATGTAGATGGACTCAACTGGTATGGGTCCTGAGTTCAGTATGTATGTAGATGGACTCAACTGATATGGGTCCTGAGTTCAGTATGTATGTTGATGGACTCAACTGATATGGGTCCTGAGTTCAGTATACATGTAGATGGACTCAACTGGTATGGGTCCTGAGTTCAGTATGTATGTTGATGGACTCAACTGATATGGGTCCTGGGTTCAGTATGCATGTAGCTCGACTAATCTGATATGTGATCTGAGTTCAAGTTACATGTAGATGGACTTAATTGTTATGTGTTGAATTTGAAAATGTACAGATTTGATATATTATACGACCTAATGAGACAGCGTACATGAAAATCACTATTCATATCCTATAAAGAAGATGGGGCACAAGAACATGCAAACAAAAACCACACATTCATGTGAATGCTGGCTTATAGTTATTACGTGAACACTCACCATTGTAAACCCACGATATATAAGCCTCTTAGACAAGAATTATGAAGACGTATAAATAAATAACGAATTCATAACTATATCCCCTTCTATTAATTATGCTCCAGTTATCATTCCTAACGAAATTAATTAGTAGATCCTGAGTTGCACATTAGTGGTTGCAGTTCAATAGTGACTCATCAGATACGAGGGTCATGATACATGTAGTCTCCGCATCAGGTTCTTGGCTCTCGATGATAATTAGTCAAAATATTCATTTTGACTACTTAGGCTTGCTCTTTTGACTCCACGGAGAGATTCAAGACTCATTTTACCATTGTTTCTTCAAGTTAATATTGCATATCTTGTTTCCAATTGTTAGGATAGTTAATGATTTTGAACGATTGCACATCGTGTCTATAATTGGAAAGACGAAGATTGTAAATGGTTTTCTATAAAATCTCTAGCCTGATGAAGTGCTTCTCAACTGGGTATAGTGTGGTGTGATTGCAAATAGCACTATTGTGATTTACATGTTATTTTATCCAAACATAACCATACCAAAACATTTAAAACGGCCAAAAAGTCCATCGACGACATCGATAAATCAAATACACAACTGATGACTGAAAAAGAAGAGCTGTTTTCTTTGGACATGAGGAACATGTGGCATAAGAATTTCAAATGGAGCATCCTAAAAAATAAGTGGGGCGTTGTACTTTTAAGATTATGAAGTCAAAATTCAGACAAAAAAGAGGATTAGGCACTCATCGTACCCAATCTAACTGAAAACGTATGTTTATGAGATTCGCACATTTCAATTTCAAAGGATAAAAAAGATGTTCACTTGCATAAGATAAGAGAATACAAGTGATGACTCTATTTGATTGTATATGATTAACATACCATTCACGGGGAAATTATGTTCTTCAACAATGCTATATTATTAAAAAATGATGAATGACTCCGATGACTGAGAGTTAGAAGTTTTTACGAAAAAGCGCAATTTTAATGACCACCGGTGTGGAAAAGCCAAATTGTTAAATGAAACATACGAAACGAAATGTTTATTTCTCTAATATAATCAGGTGATCGACATCTTGGAAGCTAGTCAAGCAACGAGAGGGGGTAAGAGGGGTTTAGCCGTGGCAAAACTTGCGTAACCTTCCTACTTCAGCGTACTTTCAAACATAAGGAGGGCTTAAGTGGGGAAATTACTGCATACTAATTGCTCTTGTCAAACTTTAGCCAACTCCCGCTTTCCGCTGTGGGAAATTAACTCCATCTGAAATGGAAGTCCAAGTCGTATGTACTTTTAAAAGTGAGTGGAAATTGATAGAAATTGGTTGTTTTGTTGTTCGCAGAAAGTATAGACCTATAAGCACTGCCTATTACCACTGTTAACTAAAAATTATCATTAAAGTACCATTCCTTGTTAATCTTGGGAAAGATAATTATTTACCCAGAATTCTAGATATGGAACCCTTGTGAATCCAGAGTTAAATCACAAATGAAATGAAATGTCTTGATCCAACAAGTATGTATTTTATGATATTCAATATATAAAGAATACATCAGTTTAACAGGAACTTGTCAGCATTGAAGAACCTTCTTCTATGTATGAATAAAATGGGGGACTAATATACGATTAAGCTCATTTATTCAAATGTTTAATTATAGCACCTTGCGTTGTCATAGCAACCAAACACATCTCGTTAATTGGACACTTGAGTCCTGGGATTGAAAACCATGCGTTATTGCAAATGTATTTAAATATATGTCACAATCGGAATAAATAAAGTGTTAGCGAGGAGGTAATATAAAGTGTGTGTACATAATTTTGAAGAGCTCGTGTTTTGTATGGGCTCTCTAAATTGACACGTTCAAGTGTCGACCGGGTGTTAATGCCTCAATGACTACTTAATAAACTCCAATCCAACTCAACGTTTATTCATTTTCATTTGGAATAACATGGGCAAATAAATTGACTCAGTTTCAGTTCAATTTTATGAAAACGAAATGAGTAAATCGAACAAATTGATCGGTTAAATCATAGGAGATAGTTTGATTTTATTTCAGACCGAACTTGAATGAAATGTAAAGCCTATTGTGCCATAATTTGAGTTACAAATCCAAACGTCATGGGCTTAACTTTAAAATGATATTAAATTACTGTAATATGAGAAAAACTTGCGATTTTATATAATACATGCTCTTAATGCATGCAATGGGTTTTGTATTTTTGTTTAATATTATCTAATGCAATCAAAGTAGCATTATGTGTTGTTGAATGCCCTAACGTTCTTAAAGTCACTGCAAACGGACCCATTATATAAAAGTCAATGAAATAATCCCTAGGATTAGAACAATATTAAAAAATGACATTAAACCCTCTCCATGTCAGGGATATAAGCCACCTGAATTGCGAACGGAACAAAACGTCGACAGGTGCATATGGTTGGCGGTTTGGTTTGTGGGGAAGCTTTGGTTTTGTGATGGCTTCGTCTTCTTTTACATGTAACTGACTGATTCCCATTTATAAAAAATTGTGTAGAGGTGAAACTATAATCGTGTTTTCAATTTACCCTGAGAATCCATTACAAGTGATAAAAATAACCAAACTCTAACATGTAGTATTCACCAGTTAGGCAATAAATTAAAGAGCAAACGCAATGCAATATGTCGTAAAAAGGAACCAACCCCAAATATATACATTTACCATTTAGGCAATAAAAAGGAACTGTAATGAGTAATGTAATGGTAAAAATGTCAATTTCTCAGCAATTATTAAAATTGTTGCACACGTTATGTATACTGGCGTCAAGAAGTATAATTAATCAGTCAGGTTAAGCAATAGCATGCAAACCAACGCAACATGGATTCTAATGTCAAACTCTTTCCATTTGCAAGTTAAAATAATTAAACCATACAACCACCGCGAATCTGACGTCAAAACCTCCCCATATTTTGGCAATTAAATGTCCACACGCTGTGGACTTTGACATCAAAATATGTCCATTTGCAAGTAATTAAAACCCAGATGTAATTAAAAGTTAAGTAATTAAAAATACAAACGCAAGTGCATTCTTGAAGGCATGCTTGAGATTTATGATAATACGGAATATCCTTATTAAATGCATATTGGATGTTATCAAAACAGTTTAAATAACAGATTACTTAATGTGATTCTTGATAGAGGAAACGAGTACACATGTTGAAAAACCAGATACAGAGAAAAATTATCCCTTACAAACACAGGACGAATTTGGTGAAATTGGAATGTTTCATGTTAAAGTGTTAATATTAAACTTTCTGATTATTCGATGATGACAGCGCGTTGTTCAACATATAAAGTCTGTTTAATCAAGCCATAGCACACAAGTTAATCACAATCGCACACTTTCAAATTGGAATCAACCTATTTGCCTTCACAGTTTACTCGTGAAGCCCTCTTAGACTTTTATCCATGCCAAAGAAAGTGACAAACACCTCGTTGATAAACTGTCCAAATTGTTTGTTTAAATACACTCTAATCATTCGCTAAAGAGCTGATAATTTCTTTCTAATCACAATGTGTTCTGCGCCAGAACTGGCATAACCAATAGGGAAACATGAGCCGATTGTATTGGCGAGAGGTAGTAAGCATCTCGCTCCTAGTTGCGCTAATTGGAGAGGCGGAGCTTCCTGGCTTAACCACATATTGCAAAAAACGAAGGGGAGGCCCTTAGTAATCTTTTGAGATTTATTTTGATGGATTTCATCTCCATTAAGCATTTTAAAAGCTTCACACTTCTCAAAGTTCATGTAAAAGTTTGTTAGCTTAACAAATCTTATTCTATTCTGAGGTCCCCGGTTTATTAGGGACCTCGGACCACGGCTTAATGCTACAATATTGAACAGTGTACCAACAAAGACTTTAACACACACAATAGAGGGTATACAAAATAAATCCTCAGCGGAGTAAATAAAATTGTAGAAAATTGATAAAATCACATGGCAAGGCATTTAGTTGCTTTTGAAAACCATTACTTCGTGTTTGAATAGCCGAGGCTTTTGCTGAAGCACAAAAGGCAGACCAATAGAAGTTTGAAACCCGACGCCTCATTACATATAGAAACTTTCTAAATGGCAAATTGCAAATGAAAAGATCTTTTTGTTAAAAAGAGTTCACGGGTTTTAAGGTGTAACAAAACGTATACAAACTGTCACTATATGTATTCATTGGTTATTTTCAGATTCTAAGCATGGCTTAAAGAACATCAGACTCGAGGAAACGATAAGTAAGCCATAAAACCTCACCAGGCCTAGATATTAATGAAAGGGAGGTAGCTTATGCGTGACGTCACGCTGAAAAGACCTATCGATATCCTGATTGACAGGCACTTCTCGTCAATAGTTTAATGATCTGGCATGTTGGGAAGTGACAGGCATACAATGACAGAACCCCACAGAGCACCGACAGAGTTGGCAAATGCTGCTTGAACAAGTAGAGCGAAAAACATTTGGGAATTCATTCGTTCAGAAACAATCGAACAGTGAACATCGGGATATATAGAACATTAATCGAGGAACTATCTAAAGTGTTTACGAAAGTATTCAAGCTAGAGATAGGCAACCATTAAACATTGGGCCCTTGGAATTCCATAACTTAATCTTAATAGATTGAGGGACTCTAAGCCGCTTTAGAGAGCATATTGAATGCGTAAGTAAGTTAGTGGCCAAGGCGAAGCATTGTTACTTGTCATCGTGTACAGACCACGTATAAGGATTAAGGCAAATCGCCGTAAAATTCGATGTCGTGGCTGTTTGTTACCAGATGACCCTATAAGAGTTCTTTATAAGACTGTACAAATATAGAAGTCTGCTTCTGGCGAACATTATAGACGTATTTTAGAAACAGCTCGGAGAGATGGCGGACCCGGGTGCTATTAGCACACACTGGGAATATAGGATGTGGACTATATTGCTAATGACGATATGTTTTGGATTAACACTCGTTGAATCGAATGAAGATAAACCGAGGAAATGTCAAGAGATCACAATTCCGATGTGTAAGGATATACCTGGCTATAACCTGACATATATGCCGAATGAGTTCAATCATGACTCCCAGGAAGAGGCTGGCTTGGAAGTACATCAATTTTGGCCGCTTGTTGAAATTCAATGTTCTCCGGACCTCAAGTTTTTCCTGTGCAGCATGTATGCCCCTATCTGTATGTCGAATTACCACCGACATCTACCCGCATGCCGGTCTGTTTGCGAACGAGCAAAGGCAGGCTGTGCTCCTCTCATGATCCAGTATGGGTTCATTTGGCCCGAAAGGATGGAATGTGACAAACTACCCAGATATGGTGATAAAGAACAACTCTGTATGGACTTCAATAATAGTACAGAAAGACCAACAGAACCTCCCCGAAAACCTGCATATACCGTCGTAACTGACCCTCCTGCTCATGTAATACCAGGGTCAGCTCTCAAAAACTGTTCATGTGGATGCCAGGACCCCGGCATGGTCTCGCTCACTAGTGACATGCCTGGGTACAATAAAATCACAACTGGTGGACAGGCAAACTGCGCCATATCATGTTATGGTGCTTACTTCAACAATGATGAAAAGACATTTGCCAGTTACTGGATAGGCATGTGGAGCATTCTATGCGCTCTATCTACATCAATGACCGTCATCACCTTCTTCATTGATATGCAGAGGTTCAAGTACCCAGAGAGGCCCATCATTTTTCTCAGCGCTTGCTACCTTATGGTAAGCATCGGATATATTATTAGACTTATCATGGGCCACTCCGCCGTGGCCTGTGATGGAGCAACCATCAGGTACGAAACGACGGGCCCCGCAGTCTGCACTGTTGTATTCTTGCTCATATATTTCTTCGGTATGGCATCCTCACTCTGGTGGGTCATCCTATCATTTACATGGTTCTTAAGCGCTGGACTTAAATGGGGACAAGAAGCCATCGCTAACTACAGCTTTGGCTTCCATCTAGTGGCCTTGTTGATCCCAACAGTGAAGAGCATAGCCGTGTTGGCCACATCGTCTGTGGACGGGGACCCAATCGCTGGAATATGTTACGTGGGCAGTCAAAACCTCACCAACCTAAGGGTCTTTGTGCTCGCACCATTATTCATATATTTACTCATTGGAACATCATTTTTGTTAGCAGGATTCGTTAGCTTATTTCGTATTAGAAATGTTATTAAACAACAAGGACGTGCAAAAACAGACAAATTAGAAAAACTCATGATACGAATAGGGATTTTCTCTGTACTATATACCGTTCCTGCCACCATAGTTATAGCTTGTTATTTTTACGAACAATATTTCCGGGAGAGCTGGGAAAAGGCGCACACTTGCCCGTGTCAGACTCCTCGCCTACAACCGGACTACAGTGTATTTATGCTCAAGTACTTTATGTGCCTCGTAGTAGGCATCACATCCGGGTTCTGGATATGGAGTGGAAAGACCCTAGACTCTTGGAGGCGATTCTACGCCAGACTTTGTGGTAGGGGTAAAAATAAATCAGCTCGAAATAAGGAGAAGTTCAGTAGTGCAAGTCCAGTTGGATATCAACCTGCTGGATTTGGTAAAACACCTCCCATACCTGTTAGCCATGTCTGATAGTTAACTTAGCCCATTTATTGTGTATACAGGGATACAACACTCGGGAACTACCCAAGTTTACTTTCCCTTATCTTAAACCGGGGAACTAATATACACCTTTTAAAGAGAACGTTTGCTTTTAGGATCTCGGTGTTATTTCACTCAGTTATGTTAATGAAACTGTTATGTAGCTCAAATCTTGCTCAATGGAAATTACTGCAGAAAGCTAAACATACATTGACTTTAAGTCTGACCTATTTAATATAGGGACTGGGTTTTAATCCCCCTGTGTTGTTATCCCTGTGTATTGTAGAATATAATATATGCCACAGAAAATGTTCAACTTCGTCATCTCATAAAGGATGGCGTCACTGACATGATCAGATTGTACGGTGCTCTTGGCTAAACCGTAATAGTCAATTTTGTATATTACAAATCAGTGTATTTTATTTATTTTGCCTAATTCTGGGCTAATCACAACGCACTATCGGGATTCACTTATCGCTGTAATCCCTTGTTTAAAGATAGGCACCTGAGAGATGGATTGTCTAATCCACAATTTTAGTAAATACGTATTCATTGCCGAGGTCTTCTAATCAATTAGCTCCGCATTTTCATCGTTGATTTTATATTATGGTCTCTTCATTGTACGTGTACTTGAATTACCTATAGGTGCAGATGGTCTCGGGTCCCACTGACTTCTAGTATCATTTATTGTTTATCTTTGGAAAATAGATACAGAAATCAGGGTATTTGCTAATGCTAAATGCTACATCAAATACGGAAATGGTCTCTAATGCTACATAATTGATTCGATTTTTCCAAGCACCTGAACAGAATCCAATGCTACAGTTAACGTCGCTGTGTATTTTCTTGCAAAAACTAAGATTCGGTCAATATTTTGATTTCAATTTATCGAGTAAAGTATCTTCTTTCCTCGATGGTAACATTCAAATGGATAATTCAGAGTTCAGAGGTGTGGTGCTTTTACATTCGTTGTTCTACACATATATACTAAACGTATCCATTTGGGATGTTTAAGCATCAAAGCCTTTCACTGCTTTTAGAAAAGATCCTTTGTTAGAATATTATTCAGTTCGTTTTTTTCTCCACAAACTTCTAAATTTCTAAAGAAATATCTTCCAATGTAAAGACCATTAATAGAAAAATTAAACGAGTTTTAACCACATAGAAAAGTCTTGTTGGACAAATGTTTTGGTTTATCTAGTTTCGGGTTACCAAAACAGTGTGGAAATGGTTAGAAAACATGGTGTTTTTCGGTCTTAGTTTTCACGTGTTTCTTGTAGTTGCATAGGAAAGTGCCACTTTTGAAACTGACAGAAAACATACTTAGATCATACCATTCCACATGTCGATGAGATTCTCGTCTTATGCACTCATACGTTTAATTTGTAAACCCATCAACATCATCATTTCTTCATTCAGTAAATCAAATACAGTTTTATCTTCTTTACTGGTGGAATGTTTAAGATTTTACAATTTGTCATCTCTAGTGGTATTCAACTATAATATGAATGTTATCAGATCTGATATCTCATATATATGTTTTTATCAGTTCATCATCTCATATTTTTCTAGGGCCTAATTGAATTTTGCCCTAATTGGAGGGAACGGTGTGATTCATCTAAGCGGTAATAAGGCTTAGATGTGTTCAATATTAATACTTAGTTCATCTGTTCCTTGTCATGTCATCGCATCTTATAGATTGACGTCGCTGGTTGCATTAGGCTAACCGAGTTAACTTTCTCATCAGTTGCAATATAGTAACCCTAATGAATTGTATGTACAATCACGATTTTTAATTGTAAAGTTATACGTTTATATATATATGAATGAAATGTGTTTCTACAAATTGAATGTAGAGATTGTATAAATATGGTGTTTATTTGGAAATACCACAAATAGATGAATGTTTTATGTAATTTGATATGAATGTGTTTTGTTTCCTCTCTTTCCCATGTGTTTTGTCATAGCTGACACAACGTGTACAGTCATATCAAATATTAATAGAGACAGAAGACAAATGAATGGCTAAAATGTAGGACAGTTCCATATGTGTTGAGATCATTAAAAATGACTAATCGTTGTTAATGAATAGTTTACTCATTTTGAATTGAATATAACATCCACCTTCAATTACGTATTTCATCATCAACTATAAAACAATTGATATTTGACTCATTCCAAAATTAGAATATGTTTACCCATTTTGAATAATTCATTTATATGGTATAATACTGAATATTCATTTATATTTATTAGTCTTGTTTACTTAATCAGTTGATGGATTAACCAATTGTCGACTTGTGGTATTATCTATTTTACAAATGTTCAAAACACAAAATCAACATTTTCCACTGATGTGAAATTTGATATTGAACGTTGATCTAGGTCATGCCACAAACATGCAAACCTTTGCCAACAATTTAGTCACCAGCTGAGCTCTTGGAGTCTATTCTATCGGTGGGTGCTAATCATTTCTTTGACAAATTGCCCGGTTTTTCTACACAAGTGCCTGAAGCTTCAAGACCTTAGTCTAACCTCTTTGATAGCAAGCAAAAATCCATTGAAATCTCGATTCGTTCTGTAAAGGCTTTCACGTCAATGAGTATAATGAAATGAAATGCGTTTAATGTTATTCTTTATTCTTAGCCTGAGCACAGTTTTCTTGAAAAAGAAGTCTAAAGAAAGACCGATGTCGATGTATTAGTAGCAACAAATTGGAACGATGGACTATTACTATAGAAAGTAAAATAGCTGTGAAATATGCCTATTGAAATCGTCCCGTTCAGAGTTCTCGGGTTACGAGCTTTTATTTTATTTACCAGAACCTACTTGCAATTAGAGATTGGAGAATAAACATCGTTAATTAATTACTCCAACTTCTCACTTGCAACCGAATATCAAATAAATCATATTTGCTAAGTCAAATTCGTTAAACCGGATTCAATTGCCGAGCTTTTCTGAACAAATATTCAACCCAAAATGGATAAATAAATAGTGGAAACTCTCTAAGCTAGTACCATTATACAATACACGTTTTGTCTACAATTTAAACTAAGATTTTGTTAATAATTTAAAGACGTTATCTTAAGGATGCACTACCACTCGTGGTCAGAGATAGCAAAAGCCACAGGTGAATAAAATACCAAAAGTTTCTATTCATTAAACATAAAATAGCGTTGAAAATTGTCAAAATAGCAAGAAATTAAGTAAACATACTATTGGTTTACATTCTACACTGTACAAAAACGTGACAAAGAACAACACTCAAAATTAACATAGAAAACATAACCCGGGTGATATTTGTTGTAAAGTGGTGATATTTTAAGCAAAAGTCACCGTATCAGAATATAAGCTTACTTTCCGTCATGGTTATCTTTAGTGACACAACTACACTTGACATGAGAATCGGCATTTTGGACCTTAACAATGACAAAATCACAACTTTGTTGCCATCGTAACGACTTAATGATTGTGTTCTGGTCTTAACTTTGTGCAAATCCATGACATAAATTTCACTTTGTTTTTTGGCTTTATGTAGAAAATGCATCAGAAATGGTGAATTGAATATGAAATGAAATTGACAGACATAAAGTCAAATATCTTGAATTTCAAGTAAGGGCAAAAATGCAAGAAATGCATGTCACTTCTAAATAGAAATTGCTTTATCCATACAAGAGCGAGGTGCCTTTTGAAGCAGGGAGTTTTTTATACACAACCAAAACCGAGCAGGGAGTCTGTTTGCAAAATAGCTTCGTTGAGAGGCTGCCAGTTTACCTATGTGTTCACCAAGTTTCGTTCTGTTTCATTGATCTACTTTATTTGTGGAAATCTAATTTTCTTTTCCAATCATTAGCCTTGTATTGCTGTATTGGGAGCTAACGTACGATTTAGAATTCCCTATTTTTGGACGAACCATAACTTCGAACCAAGCAATTGCCAAAGAACATTGATATAAACACTGCCAATTTGTAGACTCACGTCGATTAAACGACATACGGTTCGTAGATTCATATTTAGAAATGTATTTATATGTATGTCCATATTTCATTTTGCCAAGCCTAGCATCTAAGGAATTTGTCCTTAACAGTGAATTTGATCGTGATCGGCATGCCCACTGGACCGAAATCAACAATGTCGGCAACGAAAGAGAATACGACGTTAATTTACTCAATAACATGGGATAATTAGGTGTAAATTATAATTTACACTTGGATAGATGCAGCTGCATTGTGAAATTCTTTTCTTAGACTGACCAAGTATACATTTACAAGAATATGTGGTTTACACTAAAATTTTAGTGTTGCTATGGCATGTATTAACATGGTAACAGCTTACTATATTTGCATAGCAACGTGTCTTTGCTAGCCAGTGTCTTCAATTCTGAAATTTCAATCAAAGTTTTGTTAGCGATTTTGAAATTATTTACAACATACGTTCTTACTCAAAAGGCTAGAATCATATTGGGGAATTCACAAAAGATAATTAGTTAGTACCCTTTTTCCTATTTCAATTAAAAATGTTTTAATTATGATGCAAAAATGATTATTATAAAATACCAAGTTAAGGGCGATCCAGGGAGCTTTTATTAGTCTCATGTAAAATTATTTTACCAGAATCGTTCCAACACTTTCAGTGAAATTGTTGTTGATTACAAAAACAATATGTTATGTATGTTATCTTTCTCTGCCCAAACTGTGAAATTATTTGAAAATCTCAATCCGTTCAAATTTAAGGACACATTAAATCGAGGAAAAAATCATTCCTTCCATATATTTGAACAACGGTGTACATGGTGTGCCAATGCTATGGATGTTCTTCAACAAAAATCGTATAAGTAGCCACGATCAAGTAGCTAACAATTGAATTTCTCAGCGAATTTCCTCAGCATCTTAGCATCTCCAATGTACAATAATACCACATCGTGCCTAACCAAAGCTTTCTAAATTATTTACGATCCCTTATTGAATTATTTCGCTGGTAACGAGCTCGTCGATATTTCGTTCTGTTATCTATTCTGCTATCCCCCTGGGCCAAAATACAATCAATCTGACGTGTAAAGTGGATTGCATTTGTATATATTTCATAACAATAATGTTTCCTTGTGACATTTGAGATGTTGTTTACGATGCTGATCGAGAATCATATGAAGACGAAAGCCTGAAAAATAATGCTCTAAATACAGGAAATGCCAGTAGAAAAAGTCCCGATCAAATATTTAAAATTCAGTCAAACCAGAGACATATTATATGTCTCTGGTCAAACTATATATACACTGCACGAACTCAAAGAATCAATCATATTTTTATTGTACAGTGTTTGACAAATTCAAGTTCATTCTCTTTTAACTCAAAAATCATTAGCTATTCAAACATCTACAATCATAGAGATGAGTATCCATAATAAACACAATATGCAACAAATTTTACATAAAAAGAAATCAATGCTGACGATATATCGCTAAATACCAATGGGTCTCTGTCTCCCGATGGCATGAGATTATAGCGGAAATCTCTATCATAGCCTGATGGCACAAAACAATTCCTTGTGGCATAAGTATCACGTATATATTAATATTATTGAATTTCACTTCAGAGATCCTCGTCTACAGACATTAGGGCAATCCCAGGAGTTTCTATGGTCAATAGAAATCATCGTGCGAAACTACTTGAACGTGATTTGATGCAATATACGATATTTATGCTGTTATTACTGATAATAATGTTAACAGTGACTAGACATAAGAGCAGAATGGGGAGTCTGCGTTCAGTGATGGGGGAATGAAGCCATTGTTTGTTGTTCGAATTAGGCGACAGGTAATATCCATCATTAATGTGGGATCGCTGTATTAGAACTGAATTTTGACTCCTTGAAATGAAAATTGGCTTCTGAAAGTTTCAGTGGTTGAATCTTTTATTTTTGTCTAGGCTTCAATTCCCTTGGCAGGCAGTGTCATAATATACCGCAATTTCATACAATTAATTCACATTGTCTCCCTTGTTGGAACAGAGTCTGATCCGATAAGATATACTCAAATTGTTTGATTAATTGATGTAAATCAAACGAGGAATTGTTGCATATTGAAAAAAAGATTTGCAAAAATAACTTCTTTAACAAACATTTTACATTTTATCATCAATAGCCATTGTTTATCATGATTAAGCATTATTTATTTCCTGTTCCCAAATTTACGGAAGGGTCTCAATATAAGGTAGTCTTGCCTCAAGACCCTCGACTACCTACTGTGTTGCTTAGAGTCAAGTCAAGTCCGAAGATTGGAGTCAAGTCCTTAGATTGGAATCAAGTCCACAATCTTGCAGCAAGACTAAGTATGAGGATTGAAAAGTCCTGCCACTTTAGCCCGAGACTGAGTTATGATAATTTTAGCAACATTTTGCCATAATTCCTTCTCCTATTTAAGCTCTCTCTTGATTACCATTATTGTGGCAGAATTATCGCAATTGATTTCAGAGTTATGAGTAATTTAGGGTGAAAGAGGGGGCAATTTAACTTGTTATTGAAATTCCTATGTAATATTCTCGTATAATATGTTCCTATTGTAATGACGTCAAGGGTGGGGCATTTACCCTAAATTAATGGAACAATAACTTTTTTAGAATTAGAGAAGAGATCTATAATTTAAAAAAATATTTAAAAGATTTTGTTTTCCGACAAAGAAGACGAAATGAGGTCAGATTGTAACCATGCTGATTTATTTTTACACGGACATGATAAAAACGCAGTTTATAAAAAAATAAGATAGTGTTTTTATCTAAGTTGCCAAATATTCACATAATTATATTGGAAATATTTTGGCTATATCATATATTACATGAGGAAAGTAGATCTTAGCCAATATATCTTGTTGAGGTAAATATAGCAGTTAATCCGACACAATGGAAAGTTATTCATCTGTGATTACCATATCATATATACTGGTCATACATATAACATTACACAGTCGATATTAAAACATGAATAAACTGCTTGATTTCAGTCTAGTTATAAACTGAAGACGAAGCTCTCTTTTAAGAAGTGAAGTCAAATGAATGCAAAGGGTACCAAGCTTGTTGGTTGCAATTTAACAGTTTTCCAATTCAAATTGTATTTTATTTAAAGATGGTCTTAAATGACACGAATTGTGACAAGTAATTATGAAAAATATTTCACCAGCATTATGTATCATGTTAACTGACAGTGTGAGAGGTGATATGAGTACTCTTGAAAAACACAGGCTGGCCAAGATTTAAGCCCTTGAAATGACAATACTTGCCAAGACTGTGGCGACAGAGAACGATACTGTCATCTCGAGGACATTTGATGGGTTAATTGGTGCCATGAACGACGAGGGCCAATGGTATCCTTAATTAAAATGTTATTCTGGGCAAGTAATTCCACCATTTTTTCTGAAAATCTAAACGTAAATGTTTATTTGATTGTATATCTATACATCACTCTGAACCTTCCGTGCACATATGTTGTCTGATATCTGTACCTCCAGTCATATTCCCTGCGGTGTCTTTAAGTAAGTTTATGTCGTGATATAACATTCATGGGTAAGCCGTGATGCAGGTGGAAATCAAGGTCCCGGTACCCTAACTAAGCAGTATGGTGACACTTGCACCTGTGCGCGATACATTCGTAACATTATTAAAACGAATTAGTAAGGTTTATTAATCTTACAAATCTGTGGTTGCCTCACTTAACGTTGTTAATAGAAATCGTTGAAAATAATGTTTTGAAAAATGTTTAATTAGTGTTGTCTAGATACAATGACTTCATTAACTAAATCATTAGCGAGTGTCAAAGAGAGGTAATAACTCAAATGAGATATGCCAATATATTATGTTTTAAGTCCACACATTTAATACACTGGACGAAACACTATGAAAATGCGTAGTGATTGCAATCACCCTTGCATGGTTTGTGTTAGCATTTTCTAATAAGACTTTGAAAAGTAGGTATATCTATGAACAACGATAGCATTACCCAGTGGTCAGATTTGATCAATTGCAATATGTGCTGCATTCCATTTTCACGTGTTGCCCTTTGTGTTTTCTTCTCACAAGCTTTATTCACCGTTATTCAATAATGATGATGTCTGAAAATCAAGAAACAATAGACACTAAAAGCTGTAAAATCATGTTGTATCCAAGTAGTGATTCTATAATGCAAACCAGAGTGTTTTATATGTCTCTGTGCAAACCAACATGGACATTTGCCACCATGCTACTGTTTATTTAGGCAACTATCACTTAAAGTAGGTGGGAAGTTTGTTTTAGGGCCTTGCGTGTACACAAAGACTCCAACAGGCCATAAAATCGCCATGAAATCTCAAAGAAGCAATAAAATAATCATTATTCAATGATAGCCCAATAAAATAATCATCAATCCAAACAACTCGCCATTCACAGATAAAGAGCGATAATGGACGATAAGCCTTTGCTATTGTTGAGGTTATATTATGAGAGATAGTAGATAAGCAAAAACAACACACATTGAAGATTACTATCATAAAATGAAGTGTGGCGAATAATTTGTTGAACTTGGTCGGGATGTGGAAGATTTTCTTCAGTATTTGATCGGTGTGATCGAGAGAATACACACAACATACACACAACAAAAACAATTACATGGGAATTAGGATTTTCGGATTTTCTCGCCTGTGCCGATCGTTTGTTTTGGTTGTTTGGATAATTAGTTTTCTTGTTAGGGCTAGGGTCTCTAAGCAGGTTCCATGTGGTCACGTAATCACATTTTGGACTTATATTAATTATAAGTACTACACAAAGTTGATTACCCTTTGAAGAAATATTTTGGTTGTTAAGAAATATGAACCAACGGGGGTCGTCTATACTCCAATCCAAAAAGTTGATATTTCGTGTGAAATGATCGTAATTTGAGCTATTATTGACGATTTTGGAATTTCCCGGGCCGACATTAAGTGTGTAAATGTAGTGGGTTTAGTTAATTTCATCTAGTTAGTGAATTGTTATTGGTTCAAGTGTGTATAAGCTGTCAAAGTTCGCTGGCAGCTCAACAATGCCCCCATTACACACCTGTTCCCAAACTTATCAACGATCAGATTTTAAAACTAAAAATAGCGAGAGAAAGAATGGAATTGTAAATTGGATCACACGCATACATGGTCCGTACTCCAACGTATACATACAAAGCAAGGAAAGCAGGGATTTTAGTCCCATTTAAAAGAAAATTTGACAGAAATATATGTTAAAAAGGGAACATTTTACCCCATGGTCAACCCACCCTTCTTGAGAACTTACGGGATTGTCGCGCATACAGAGAAATCGGTTCAAGTGTTTGCCCATTTTCTACCTATTTAAAATACTTTTAATCGCCTTTAGAATTCTAAATCTTTCTTTAATAAACACGCTAGTGAAAGCAATAGTTACAGTAATAAAATTCAATTGTGGGTTGGGTGAAAACATAAACTATACAATCGTTCGGGAAAGTTGAAACGACGTCGATAAGGATTTTAAGTGCTGGGAACTTAACACAAGTTTTTCAGACTTCCTATGTTTGATTTCCCTTTTTATTCTGAGCTTGTGAATTCTGACGAAAGCGAACTTAACAACCTTTCAATACAATTTGACAAGTTGACATTTAATTTAAACGGTTTAGTCGATATTATCTAAGATAGGGGGTACATAGGTCCACGTGATTGTTCCCGTTCTCTATACAGTTATATATGTATACAAAATTATCCATTCTTATAGTTTTGACTTCTAAATTTAAGGTATTGTGGCAAATGATGTATAAACGAATGAGATGAATTTGTTCAGTAAATATGCCCAATCCCTTTAGAGCTCACAGCGTATGGTACAATTACCCCGTTTGAGACAACTGTTAAGTCTTTTGTCCAAAATTACAATAAACAATATAACGGGCTTGGATTTTGGCGTTTAACCAGATCAACAATGATTTGTCGTTAATCCATCCAAATCCTGTATATGGTATACTAACCCCTTTGTAAAAGCAATAACAGATGTACGGGACTGGTCAGGAACCCCTGGCCATACCGGCCATTATTCCCTTTTTTCATGATCATGCCCGCATTGTCCATGGTCCTTTCACTGTTCAGAGCGCCCATTTAGCGGGCCCTTAATTATTATCAGAAAAGAACTGACAAACAACATCTTAATTGGCCCTCATTTCAGTCTTAGTTGCTTTGTCTACAAGTCTGACAAATTGTAACCAAATACATTTAAGAGAAATCCTCGACTGGGCGCCAGTAGTCACATATCACGCAAGGTCAAACTGAACTGAATATGTCAGTGACATATTCGAAGCTGACCACACTCATACCCTTCGTTGCACCTCGCCTTTTAGGTCCTTCAATTGACATAAATGACACTTTATTTCAAACCAGGATATAAATCTAAATTGAAAATGTACCATAAGTCCTATGTCACCAAAGGCTGATGTCGTAATAGTCCTCCACCCCAGCAGGACTTGAGCTCACCCTCAGATTACAAGGCAAAGAGATACATATTTCGATTGAGCATCACCACCAGAATATTCAGCATTATTAAAGGTATATCGTTAGAATGGTTGAAATAAGAATTCAAATGGAGTTGGATTGGTGTCTATGATTATATGGCTACCAATTGCAAAATGCATTTTGAGGTTCATCCGCTCAAATTATTCAACCAACAATCCATTCCCTTTGATTCATGTGAAAATTAAAATAAAGATGGTACCATTTGGCCATGGATTGTTTAAGTATTCACTCGTCTGTATAAAACCAAGGTTAAAATGCGATTTTTTGAGTGGAATGAACCTCTTCTTAAGCACCTTGCCTAATTTCTGTATTACATTCCAATACATACTTCAAGGAAGTTGTTTCTGCCAAAGGAAACCAGATCTAAGATTTAGCTAAACCAACTAACAAATGATTTCTATGATTACAGATTCGCATCGTGTTTGCAACTTGTCGGTGTGAAACTTGAGCTGAATCCACACAGCGAGTTGGAGCAGCAGTCAATCAAATGGTAAGCATGGTAACCAGCTCTTAGTCGGTTAGCATGGTAACCAGCTGAAACTTCTGAATAAATACAAAAGGAAATAGGAAAATAACTCATCGAGTTGAACCTGGGACCCATGTTATGCCCATGGTGTATTAAAATAACGTTTGAATTTTAGTCATTCCATATACGAAAGATCTTACTCTAGATCTACCGTTCAAAAATCATAAAACAGCAAGCCGTTGTACAGCCATACCAAACAATCGCACAAGCAACCCAAACATATCAATCAACACATTATTCAAACACCATAAATGTTAAGCAACACAACCATGCCCCAGATGAAAAACACACTAAACAACGCATGTGCCAAGATATTCCAAAGGTGTACACAAAGTGCACAGAAACCACATAGTTCTCAGAAACCACACGGTATTAAAAAAAGTACACAAAAACATATAGTGCATAGAAACAACATAGTGTACAAAAAGAGTGCAGAGAAACCATATGCCACATAGTGCACAAAAAGACACAGACAGTGCTCAGTAACCGTGTTACACCGTGCACAAAGAACGCGCAGAAACCACATTGTGCACAGAAACATTGCAGAAACAGCTATACAAGGGAACAGACCACGTATGAAATGTGCCAAAGTAACAAACAAATGCTCATGTCAAAACAAAGACACGAATTTCCAAACAACGCATTTTTATAAACCATGCAATTCCAGTTTAAACATTGCTCTACATTCGAGCCATCTTCAACGGAACAAGGTGAACTTGAACTGTAGTGTGAAGATTTCTGGTAAAGACGAAAATATACCCACCAGAAGTGGGTGCTGCACGATGGACAGATGGGTTGGCAAAATGCAGAAATGTCTGTATTGAAACATATGGCTTCCTTACCACCATCCATCCACTGGCACATCTAATCTTTGCCTTATCTCTCTTATTGAGATGTAAACACTGGGTCTTACCAAGGCACCTCGCTGATAAATTGTTTATTCTCAAGCTGCGGGATTTGGCTGAATTGTTATCAGGCAGTTATCGTCCATAAGTTCTAATGAATGGGCGTGGTTTAAAGATAATCCACACGCCAATCAATTAGTTATTAGACCGCGGTTATAGATTGTAATTAGATTCATTAATGATATTCTCTCCAATCTGTCTAAGTTTTACACAAACTCGAGGGTTGGTAGTTGTTACGGCAATATTCGCATCAAAACCTACACTTTGGATGGAAGGACCAATGCTATAAAACGAACTACTAAGATAGTGATGCATACTGATAAGACAGTCTAAGATATTGGCTTCATGACCTTGACACCCCAAATGACCTTGAACTTGTTGAAAACAATTATAGAACGTTAAAGAATAGTCGATTCCAGTTACAAACTATTGAAATAACTTAAGCTTGAGTTTTTATCGAGTTTAACGATCCACGATCTTCTTTTGCAAAAAAGGAGAGAAAGGGTCAATTTAAATATAGAAAAAGGGAAGTGACCCTGAACCTGTTTTCAATTTAACTGAATATGCGTGCTGTATAAAAAGTATGCAATTTGATTGATAACTGCCAGGTTACGCTGACTTGCTTTGTAATCTTAAGAATATTCTGGTGGTAAACAGTTGGCAAAACAGTCTACTTCGATTTGGAATAACTCGAATACTATTCATAGAAAAACAATGGCCGGCTTGAATCATGCAAGATGCTGGGCTGCTGTGAAAAGAGTTCTTAATTATTAATTTTTATGTTTATGTAATTGCATATTTCTGTTCGCCCACTGGGGAGCCACAATCAATGGCGATTGATTCATCAGGAACAAAAATGTCTGTAATGAGCTTGATTAAGTACGTACTTGGTCACAATTACCTCAAATTATTATTTCTTTTTAAAAATACCAAACTTTTTGACAAATCACACTTACTCGACTGAAACAGAAACTAGGAAAAAAGAAGGGAAAACCACACCCATCAAACAAAATCAGTCCATGGAATTGAATGCGTGAAGCCAACTACCCCAAAATATTGGTATGATATTAAAAACTACAAAAAACTATAAAAACTGTTCCGTTCAAATTGTAAGTTCTTTCTGTGCATAGCTATATCGGCTATCAACTTGGTAAATAATAATCGAATCGAAACATATTTTTCTGGAGGGATATAAGTATTTCTACTATTATATTATCGGTACTTATAATCTCGATTTTAAATTACAGCATATTTTGACAGAAAATGTAATATGCCACACACCTGCACTGCAATTTATACGAACTTAAGGCATAATAATAACATAATATTTGGGAAAATCTAAGTGCGAACGGATTTTACCTTTCATCTTAAAAATAATTTGGTCCTTTAATTGGACGCCGAGCTTTTCTTAAAAGGGACACGCAGAGTTAAATAAATGTACTCCTCATGAGTGCTTCTTCGCCGACATGGCCCTCCTGCCCCTGCTGTTTATAAAAATACAGCTCGGGTTAATTTTGGACCGTTCATAATCTGATAATGTCTCAATTTAAGTCGATAGTCCATCTTCAGCATCCTCCAGAGGAATGTTTTTTTTGAAGCCGAGCGCTCGGAGGATGTATTGTGGAATATACATGCGGGTTTTAAACTAAGTCAGTTCAACACTGGACTGAATTTTATTAGAACAATGATTGTAAAAACTGAACAGCTGATGAGTTTTGAGTTGTTATCCTTACAAACGGATCTTCTTTTTATAATTCCGATCCTTAACATGCCGGGGTGTGCAATAATTGTTGCGCAAACTCAAAGTCTGATTGTTTTCTCGTTCTGAGATTCAACTTGTAAAACGTTCCAGGAATATATTCTATCCTCTAACAACTCAGAGATAAGGAAATTTAGACAAAAATCAAGCGATAAGCGATGATGTTAACAGCATTAAGGTGGTGTTTTGCCTCCCTGAATTTGATCGACAGTCTGATCTCTACTGGAAATAGCCCCGTCACTTGTCTGGTAACGAGAAACCAACGTTTTCACAGTAGAAACAACACAAATAAACATGGGAGGAGAAAATGACAATCACTCAGTCAAACTCTTATTTTGGAATTTGATCGATAACAAGTTCTCTCAACAAGATTAGTCGAGTTTTAGGAAGGATGAAACGACTGAAAAAATCAGCCTCCCCTCAACAGCCACAATATACCTTCCCCACATTATCAAGGAAGTGTTGGCGAGGAGGAAGGGGGGATTACAAGGCCTTATAGTAAAGATTTGAAAACGTAGTTGCGGAAACAAAATGCATAATAATGCACACATCGAGTAACCGAGCTTCCAACACTTAGATTTTTTCAGGGGCAGGGACGAAAATAGCATTAACCAAATGAATGTATCTTGTGAAGAATTGACCGAATTATCTGAAAGAAGAGGCACATTTACATCAATTACGAGCGCATAAATGAATTTTGCCATTCAACTTTTTATAAATTGTGGTTAACTTCCCAGCGTCTAAACATCCCAACTGTGTTCATAAAGAGGGTTACTGCGTTCAGTAAACTTGAGTAAACTTTTCAATTCATCTACCAAATCATATCTGGCATTTTTCAATTCCGATTTCAGACTGTCGACAAAATGGTGATACGTAAACAATATATTTTTACTTTATATGTATATGAGATATGTGTGTGATAAAGGGCAGGTATGTATTATTTACACTTCTTCCAAATAACTGCCCCCCCCCCCCCCGATTAGACTACGTGTAAGAGAGTTTTGCGGTAATAATAGTCATTCATTTCTAGCCATGACCATACTGTTAAACCAGAGTATTCCTTCTGCTATAATATGTAATATCTTCATTGATCAAGATGAATCTTGACTGAGGAAATAAATAGAACATTCCATTTTATAAACGTTATAAGGCTGCTCAAAGGGGCTAGAAACTTTTGGTGAGGAGTGCACTCAATGGGGCTAGAATTGTCAAACTTTTGGTGGGGAGTGCACTCAATGGGGCCAGAATTGTCAAACTTTTGGTGAGGAGTGTACTCCATGGAACTAGCATTGTCAAAATTATGGTGGAGAAGTAGTGTACTCAATGGGACTAGAATTGTTAAACTTTTGGCGAGGAGTGTATTCAATGGGGCTAGAATTGTCAAACTTATGGTGGGGAGTGTATTCAATGGGACTAGAATTGTCAAACTTATGGTAGAGAGTGTACTCAATGGGGCTAGAATTGTCAAACTTATGGTGGGGAGTGCATTCAATGGAACTAGAATTGTCAAACTTATGGTGGGGAGTGCATTCAATGGAACTAGAATTGTCAAACTTATGGTGGGGAGTGTACTCAATGGGGCTAGAATTGTCAAACTTATGGTAGAGAGTGTACTCAATGGGGCTAGAATTGTCAAACTTATGGTGGGGAGTGCATTCAATGGAACTAGAATTGTCAAACTTATGGTGGGGAGTGCATTCAATGGAACTAGAATTGTCAAACTTATGGTGGGGAGTGCATTCAATGGAACTAGAATTGTCAAACTTATGGTGGGGAGTGCATTCAATGGAACTAGAATTGTCAAACTTATGGTGGGGAGTGCATTCAATGGAACTAGAATTGTCAAACTTATGGTGGGGAGTGCATTCAATGGAACTAGAATTGTCAAACTTATGGTGGGGAGTGTACTCAATGGGGCTAGAATTGTCAAACTTATGGTGGGGAGTGCATTCAATGGAACTAGAATTGTCAAACTTATGGTGGGGAGTGCATTCAATGGAACTAGAATTGTCAAACTTATGGTAGAGAGTGTACTCAATGGGGCTAGAATTGTCAAACTTATGGTGGGGAGTGCATTCAATGGAACTAGAATTGTCAAACTTATGGTGGGGAGTGCATTCAATGGAACTAGAATTGTCAAACTTATGGTGGGGAGTGCATTCAATGGAACTAGAATTGTCAAACTTATGGTGGGGAGTGTACTCAATGGGGCTAGAATTGTCAAACTTTTGGCGGAGAATGTACTCAATGGGGTTAGAATTGTCAAACTTATGGTGGGGAGTGCATTCAATGGAACTAGAATTGTCAAACTTATGGTGGGGAGTGCATTCAATGGAACTAGAATTGTCAAACTTATGGTGGGGAGTGTACTCAATGGGGTTAGAATTGTCAAACTTATGGTGGGGAGTGCATTCAATGGAACTAGAATTGTCAAACTTATGGTGGGGAGTGCATTCAATGGAACTAGAATTGTCAAACTTATGTTGGGGAGTGCATTCAATGGGACTAGAATTGTCATGGACATTATGACACGTATTAAGGCAACATCTGCAAACAAAGAAACGTAAGTTATTAAACCATGTGCCTAAATATTTAGAATCATATGGAAAACCGATCCGCAAAACATATCCAGTGACCAATTAGAAAGACGATCGCTGACCAATTAGAAATACGATATATTTAAGCAAAAAAGCCAACCAAAATTAATGAAGCCAATGAGTCGCCTTATGTGTTATGTAATATTTTGGATTATCGGTTGTAAGTCACTTTGTATATATAGCATTTCTTCTCGTATGCCTAGTTATTTTGCACTAACATTACGATGTGGCATGTGCCACTTGTCAGCAAATATATGCCATTGTATAAAATCTAAAATGGTTGTTAAGTGGAATTAGTTAAGTGTCCAATTACTCCAATATACCAGAAGTTAAGACTACGCAGGCACGTAATAATAGTTTTTATTGTCGGATATGCATGCAACTCTGGTGCCTGATTCAGATCGCCAGCTGGAAGAGAGACTGACGTTTAAAACACCGACAGATACTGTATCTCCAGTCAGAATAACAATTATTTAAATATAGCAGCCTAGCCCAGCACGGGAACGTTTGCTTGTGTCTTCCAATCGAGAACAAAACAGCGGATTAAGAGGTGTTAATCTATCAATTGTTCCTGCCAGTCCTCGTGCCAACACATACTTTTTGCCACACACATTCAGTTTGCTTTCACAGAACATCTTTTGATTTGCTATTTGTTCTTTCAAATTAACGACTGATATAAGTTCACTGAGACAGTTCCCCTGCAGAAGTATACCCTCTTGGCCCT